ATATATATATATATATGCACACACACAGTACATATACATTTATCTCAGATTTGGGTTGGATTTTACTGCAGTGTAAATTATCCCTTCAGCTAGCATTAGCTTATTTCAGCTAACATTTGCTTACCACTTAAACTAGCATTAGCTTATCCCTTCAGATAATGTTTATTATTTATTGATTGATTAAAACAAGAAAATATCTATATGCACAATAAAAACAAAACTATTTTTAAACGAAATGTAAGGAAGAGAGGGAAGAAAAAGATCTTAAGATTTGCCCTTTCTTCTCTAAAATAAATTCAAATAATAATACAATCGTTTTACAGACTCAAACTTTAAAACAATAACAGGATCGGGTGCATCGTTTAAACAACAGTTTATCAGTACATAGTATCCTATTTTTCCATAAACTAAATTTAGCAGCTTTTTAAACATAACAATGTTCTGGAAGTTTTAATTTCATCATCATCATCAAGATTATTCCATAAACCTATTTCTTGAATTACAGAAAAGCTTTATTTTTTCACATATTATCTGTCTCATATTCTACTGTCAGGACATGGTGATAGTTATAACAAATTTATAAAGCATACTTCTGAATAAAAGTTACCCAATGCAGCTTTAAAAATGTGAAAATGTATTTTACCCAAAGATTTGAAAGCTCATTTTAAAACACTAATAAATCATTGAAACACTCCTTGTTTTAATTTTTGTTCTAATTTGTCAAGTTTCTTATAATTTAATATTTTCCAATAGATGTGCTGTAATTTTCTTCATCTACCATATTATAAGATATGAATTGGGTCCAAACTGGGGGTTTAGGACTTTTCCAGAGCTCTTTGCTGGTCTAGATTTTTGGATCATTATAGCTCTATACTGTGAAGCGGCACCAGTTTGCTCTGAGCAGAATATGAGCCTCTGGAAACCTTTGAAGATGTGCTGAAACTTTAATTAGTTGTTACATCATCAGAGAGAGCAGCAGAGTCAGCAAGAAACCTCTTTACTTGGATAAACTGTGTGAAAAATCCTTTATTTACCCAGCATGCATCACTGGCATTGTCACCTTTTAATTATTCCCCAGTAATTATTGTTATTTTTCTACTTTTCTGCTCTGGTAAGCTCCGGTGCAGTTTTCGGGTTAGGGTGGAAAATGTTCTGTATTGCTTGTTGGCAACACAAAGTGTTATTTCTGCTTTCTTTTTTTTTTTTTTTTTTTTCTTTTAACTGTTGTAGCACAAGAGGAAAGCCAGGGAAATTGACTTCAAGCTCTACAGAGTGTAAAGAAAAGCCTTACAGGAAGCTGGACTGTGATGAAAGTGAGCGTAGGCAGAAACACTTTGACACTTAGCTGTTGGACATAAAATAGATTTTAGTGCTAAAAGTCAGTCTGAAAATATTAATCTAACATTGATTTAATGTGTGACATTTGTGTGAATGAAAAACAAAATGCTCTGTGTCTGAAGTGCTGCTGAAAGAAAAAATTACAAATATACATTTGTGCTCAAAAATTTACATACCCTCACAGAATTTCTGATACTTTTTTGTCATTTTTCAGAGAATAAAATAACAAAAACTTCTTTCACTCATCGTTAGTGGTTGGATTAAGTAATTTCTTATAAAAACTGTTTTTGCCTTTTTTGTATCACAATGACATAATATAGTACCCAAGTGACCCTGATCAAAAATGTACATACCCTGGTTCTTCATACTGTGTTGCCTCATTCAGCATCAAAGACAGTGAAGTCTTTTGTGATGATAGGGGATAAAACATTTTCCTCACATGGTAAAACTGCCCGTTCTTCTTGGCAAAATGTCTCCAGTTCCTGTAGCTTCTTGGGCTGTGTTGCTCAATGTTATTGAAGTCAGGAGGCGGAGATGATTCCAGAACCTTCACTTTTTTCTGCTGCAGCCAGCTGCGTTGACTTGGTACAGTCTTTGTGTTTTGGATCATTGTCATGCAGCTTCTGAGCTGGTGAGTGAAACTTTTCCTCCAGTATTTTCTGTTACCAAGCTGCATTCATGTTGTCATCATTTCTGGACAGGTTCCCTGTGCAGGGTGTAGCTCACACATTCCCAAACCATCAGTGATCCCCCTCTGTGTTTCACAGTACGCATGCTTTCACTTTTCCTGATGAGCAATGGTGACTCCTCTAAAAATGTAACGGCGATGGTTGTGGTCAAAGAGTTTGTTCTCGTCACTCCAAA